CTTATCACACAAGGGTGTCTCATGCATGACAGTTCAACCTGATGAGTCACCTGATGTATGATCGGCACTTGGTCCAGTCTCCCAACTCGGAGTGTCATCGCTTAGCTGCGTCCATGTGAAACTGGACAATAAGTCATTCCTCCAGAAGCAGAAGCTGGTATCAAAGTTGCAATTTCCTTGATTAAAAAGGACACACAAATCTTAAACTTTATCGACACAGAAATTTCAGTTTCCTCATTAGACATACACGTATTCATTTAAAGAGACTGAAATATATTGCCATATGTATTTAAGCCAGGTAAAGACTTCGCACGACCCAAGTGGCAGATAAGGCCGGCGCTTATCCCCCGTTTCAGTAGCATAAAGCGACTAGGTGTATTTCAACTTACCCCTGGATGGAATGTTAGTCCATTGCAGGGTTACCCCCAGCACCCATTTATACACCTGTTCCTACATGTACCCTAGAACACAACACAACACCTTGGCAGGAGCTCCAATCAGGACCACTCGTTCCAGAGGCGAGCACGCTAACAATTAGCCACCGCACCCCCACAAAATTAATGGCTAGAGGTAAGATTGATACCTTGTCGATTGTTCTGAGGTTCACTTTCATCTTCACAAAGTCCATTAGTTAATGAGACGTCATCTACGGCTATACCTCCTGAATAGTTTCTACCAATTGTTGCCTGGAAGGAAACCTGCAATATAATAAAGACAGGAGCACTGTCATTCAGTGTCCAGTTTGTCGTAACGGTCATAAACTAGATTTTCATCGTACTCTCTTGCAATTCTGCCTATTGACTGATTCTCTAGCTCATCGTTGACTATTCACCCAGCACGTCTCTCTTTCGTAAACGACTAAATACCAATTTAGCGACACTTAGAAGCTTTTTTTCAAGTATAATCCACTTTTTTTTACCCAGGAAATGCTAGTCACCACCCAGAGCCAATCCCGGATCCTAACTAATCATGCAAACATGCCTATCTTGCCACTACCTGGGTCTAATAAGACATTGTTTTTTACTTCAAAACAAAGACAGCAACAACAACAAAAGCTTTAATAGCTGTATTTGTTTTCAAATGAAAGAATAACTGCGAGATGTTCTAACTATTAATTAAGGCGTTTTGGCTATCAGTGATTTGGTGTTTAACACAGACAAACCATAACCATCCTTACTCATGGGCAAGTTATCAAATTGATAACTTTTTCAATCTGCCTGCAACGCAAAATAGATTCAGACTATGTCATCACATAGCCCCTACAAATTTCTCCCTGCCTACCTGAGACTCGCCAGTGTATCCTACATCGACACTAGCCCTCAGCCAGACGTTACCCTGTTCACCTGACCCTCGCCACATCAAGTAATTGTCTTGTTCTTCTCGAGGCCAAAGAAACACATCAAGGTTTCCAATTCCGCCTCCATACACGAAGTAATAGAAACGGAGGCATTTTGGTCCCCGGATGAGCGGACTCAACAGTTGGGTAGACTGATTCACTTGAGAAGATTGTGATTCGTCAACGTAAATATATTCTCCACCTCCTGTGAAGACAAAAGAATAAGATTGTTGTTAGAAAATAGTCGCTGTAGGGCAAGGAGTGGACAACCCTGAAAAATCGTTTTTTTTTTTTTCAGATTGAATAACACTCCACTTCTGTTTAACTGTGCATAATTTTTATTTCTTTTTCAAAAAACAACCCTTTCTTGTTTTAACCCGATGAACAGCTTTCGCTAATGCAAAGAGAACTTAGGTGTACAATGTGACAATAGCCAATTAAGATTCCCTACATTGAAACATGACTTGGTTACCAGTGTGATCCTGTCTCGGTCCAATTCCTAGGCTTTGGTTTCCAGGCCTCTGACGGTTCCAGCTGATTTGTTCCTTGGACGGTGTTAGCAAGTTACGCCATCCACAGTAGCTCT